CATGAATCAGGGTAATGTGCTGACGTGATACCCTACTATCAGGACATGCTTCTACTATTTTGAAAGGATTCATTCCAGTCAGAATGCTAACAGCTAAAAAGCAGAAATCAGCAGCACTGTTGCAATCGCGTTTTGCCAAGACTTTTCCAAGATCGTAGACAAATTCCATCGCTTCTTGAGATGTAAGATTTGCCAGGACAATTGCAAGATGTGAGCGCCAACATCCGGAATCAGGGTTTATTGGTGTGTGTTTCGCAGCTACCGATAAAAGTGTTACTAAAGGATCGCATCGTAACCTGGTAGCCAACAATTGTTCTTCAATTTCGAGAAGCTTCGCTGGTTCATCTGTAAGCAAACGTCTAGCCAAAATCATCGCATCAGCGTAGAGTCCATCTTGAAGTGCACACTCGATTGCTTCATGAATATGTCCGCCAAGAAGCAAATCCGTGAAACGATCATATCCCCTCCTTTCGCAAAGAGCGTAGCTTTGCGAGATTACGGTGGCCTCACATGAAGGATTTGTAGGTGTGCAACTTTCTCCCCGATGCAAATGGCATCGCTGAGCTTCTTCAGAGGGAGCAGACCTGTTTTCCACCAGGAGACGTGCTAAATCCGTACCAGTCACGCGCTAAAAAAGATAATTTTTGCTATTTGAATGCCAATCTGCTAATCGGTTAGATACAGAATTATTCAAATGTGTATGAAGCACTCTAATTAGAGAAGGCTTTCGTCAAATGAAACGCGCTATCAACCTTGAACTAACATTGTTCTTGGCTGTAACACTTCATTCGATTTTGAAAACCAAGCAGTAGCGTGTTTTTTCTTTGACAAATTTAAGTTTTCAAATAATTACCCCTTGCTGTTGAACTAATAAGCCAAGTAGCTGCCACATCAGCAAACAGTCAAGAACGTCGTTGTTAAATGAACTTTCCGAAGCGAGCTCATAACGTCTGATACGCTTAATTTGACGTTCGATGTATAGGCGAACTGTATGGGGCGATGTTTGACCGACAAGAAGGGGGCCTGAATGAAATTTGTGATGTAGCGCAGAAGCGGACAATGATGAGAAATGTAACCTCTGAATTTTTGAACAGCATCAATGAGGCGTACACTGTGAGGGTCCCTAAGGACCGTTTTGATGTCATCGATTTGTATAACGGATGCAGAAGAATTACGCGGATCAACGGTGACCATTTTCCCACCATAACCAAATGTGACGAATGCGTGTGGTACACGATGTTTGAGTGGAGCTTTAAAAGGAAAAAGGATTTTCGTAGCAGTGATGATTGCGAATCTTCTCGAGAATTTTTTTCCAAAAGTTTCATTGGTTTCTGTGGAGTAAGAATGATTTCTAGTATTTTTATGGACATTGCGGTACTTTGTACAATTTCTCAACCTTTTCTCTCTAGCCTTTCAGAAGCAAAGGATAATTAGCAACCGTATACTTTGTTGACTAAAATAGGTGTTACCAACAAAATTGCGCCTTTACTTCTTCCTTCGGTGATTTTTGAGTTAGCAGTTAGTTGCAAGTTAGCATGCTATTTTTTCGCAAGAAATTGTCATAACTTTCTTCAAAAGACGTCTAGTAACTTATTTGAAAAGCCATGGCCACTAAATACCCCATCCTTATCAGGTATGTGATAACAGAACAATTAGGTTTACCTCGTTGATTGGGTTCGGTGCTCAGAATTTCTGAGATTCCATCATAGAAATTTCCGTCCAAACTGGTCCGCTCACTTATGCTGAACATATCCAAAAAGAAAAGAAAAATCTTTCTGCACATAAGTACAAGAAACCAAAGTGCAACAAGTTCTATCCTTTGATCTTTTTACCGCAACACATAAATTAGTCCAAAATTTGTATAGAAGTGGGGAGGATAGATCTACGCTTGATGATTACTTCTTCTCAGTGATAAGGTGTCATAATTTCCATACAACGTCAGTCGAAAAGTTGTGATGTTCATACAACTGTTAGTTGAAAAGCGTCATTATGATCTTCACTTATCAAAGCGAAACAAATCATTCTTATCTTAGAAAATATCTCAAATTCACGAGACTCATGAATTTTGAGCAGAATTAGGTCTCAAGAGCAGTTATCATTGTGGTTTTTCCCATAAGCACAAGATTACGATTTTCGTTACCATCTACAATACCGCTCATAACTTCTGCAAAAAAACGTGATTTGACACAAAAATCCGTCGCGACGGAATAATCCGTCGCAAAGCGTCATAACTTCTTTCAAAATAGATGTTTTTTAAAGGGAAAAGCGCCGTTAGACTCAGCTCGTTGAGAGGAATCTTCCAGTACATCGCACTGCAGTACATCTAGAGTAATACGGTAGGCATACGGTAGGAGGTCAATATCGTGAATCTGTCTAAAACTTCGCCTAGGAGGGTTATCTG